GTGTAGCCACTACAGCAGTGGAGTGAGTAGCGTAAGCTAAGGGAGAACAGGGGTAAATGCTCAGCATCCCTGGAGGCCAGAAAGTAAAATGAAAGACCGAGAGAGAGAAGCTGGCAGAAGAGGAAGGCAGGGAAGGTGAGGGTGTGGTGGAGTCTCAGTGCCACTTGACAGAGCTCTCAGGCTTCCTCTTGAAGGAAAGAAGTACCACGGAAGAGCTGGAAGCAAAACCGCAGCAGACGTGAATTGCAATTTAGATGGAGTCTTCAGGTGGAGAGGGTGGAACGGGTATTTGAGAGGGAAAAACAGCCAGGTTAGGAGCTCAGGTATCTAATCTTTTTCTCAGGATCCCTGGTGCTTTACACTCATGGCCAGTCACTGGGATCCCTTGAGGAGATTTCGGAATATATCTGAGCTACTGCTCCAACTGCTGCAGTTCTGTAGGAATGTTTATAGATAAGAGTTTTCCACGTTATGATGGTAGCCGGCCAGGTGTAGCAGTTACTGCTTTGGTGCACCATGAGCGTTAGGTGGACAAGCAGAGATGGTTCTTTGACTTCTCCCGTAAAACTAAGTAGATCCTTACATGTAACTGTAATACCATAACACATGGTGTGTACGTATACTATGCTCACATTGTTTGAAGACTCATATTTTGACCCTTTCTTAGAAAAACAACATTCCTGTTAGTTTCTTGCTTAATCAGTGTTATCTTTTAATAATTAATTTGTTTTAAACAATTAATTTTCTAAACATCTCCTAAACACCTTAAGCACTATTTTCAGGCCCAAGAACAGATTTTTAAAAAATGTTGTATACTACTATTTTCAAAATGTTGTGGGACCATTGGACAAAGGAGCAAACATTTCGAAGGGAGTTCCAGAATATTTTGCAACAGAGAATTCCTGCAAAGGGTCTAGGAATTTGCCTTCTAGGAAAATGGGAAAGGGGATTTCAGCCAGATAAAGCAAACAGTGTATGCAAAAGAACAGTGGCAGGAGAAGGGCTGGATGCTCAGGGTGGGAGGGCAGTCAGCATGGCACCGTGGAAGGCGGGCTCGTGGAGGGACGGGGAGGGAGGAAGGAGACAGAGGGGTCCGGGATGTAGTGGTCTGCTGGAAACCATTTTTCAAAGAAAGCAATACAAAAGCATAAGCAATCTGATTATGGAGTTTGTCAGTTTTGGAAGTGTAAACAGCCCCGTCTGATTTCCAGTTATCAATGATTTAGGAGCTGGCTCACAAAATGCCTGAATATTTTATAACAATCGGTTCTTGTGAATTGGTAACAGCTGGTTTCAGTATGTGACTGACTGAAGGTAAGATCCTCTAATTAAAAGAGGTGTTCTGAAAAAATGTTCCCCCTTTCTTCAGCATGGTCTGCCTCACATCGGGACAAAGCCTGTTTCTGTCCATTTGGAGTAGAGTGGGCTGTACTGAAGACTCAACAGAGTTTATTCTCTTAGCACCTACTCGTACTGCCCTTGGACACAGGCTGCTTTGGTTCTCAAACTTAAAGATCCTGGTTGTGATCTCCTAAAGGGATGGCCACCCCATCAGGAATCCATGGTGCCGTGCCCAGCAGAAACACCAAATGGTCCAGATGTCCAGGACCCTGGAATTTTCTCTGGCAATGGAAAACACCACCCTCTCTGAGGGTATGCACCTCTTCACCAAGGCTGGCCAAAGAGCACTATTTGCCAAAGGTATAGGCAGTGTGCAGTGTGGAGGCTGAAGCGCGCGCGCGTACACACACACACACACACACACACACACACACACAGGTGTGGCCCATCACATGGTGGATTAAGTGAGCTGTGGATGGGAAACAAAAAGAAATGACCAAGTTTCAAGTTCAGTTGACTCCCCACACTGCTGTGTTTTAGTGGAAGTGTCTTCTGAGTCCAAGAAATCTAAGTGCAAATCCAGTCTTCTCAGACATCATGAAGGCATCTTTGTCAAATTACGGGAACAGAATATTTTGTTAGTTGGGTTTATATTTTAAATATTTAGATATATGCTACGTGACCTTTCAGTTGTACTCCTATCCTGGGCCTTAGTTCTAATTTACCTCATTACCAGGGCTATATTCTTAACCAAGATATTCAAACCTTAGCCTCAGGTCAGTTCTTATCCACTGCATCTTATATAGGGTTTGTGAGTGAAGAATAGTTTTTCAGGTTTTTAATAGTTAAAAAAAACCATTCTGGTATGTGAAATTTACATGAAACTCAAATTTCAGTGTCCAAAAATTGTTTTTTGGAACATATCCATGCTCACCCATATATGGATCTAGTCTATTTTCATAAGAAAACAGAGCAGTATGCAAACTGAGTGAAGTAAGTCATTGTGACAGAGACTGCATGGCCTGGAAAGCCTAAAGTGTTTACTATCTGTCCCTTACAGAAGAGTCTGGCAGTGCTTGCCCTAGAGTAGTAGGCAGCAGGAAAGAGAGTCTAGAAGTTCCCACGCTGGCTGCACAGTACAATTACCTGTTGAGTTCTCACAACAGACTGGTGCCAGGCCACCACCCACAATATTTCTGAAATGAATTGGTCTGATGTGGAAATGTTCTAAAAACTTCCTGGTGATTCAAATAGGAGTCAGGGCTGAGAACCACTGGGAGGATATAAGTGTACAAAGGTCTGAATTTCCCAAATGTTTGGCAGGACAGTTGCGGGAGTTGTGCCTGCTTTTCCCAAGGACTTCAGTGGTTTTGTCTTTCTTTCGGAAAGCAAGCACCTCAGTTACCAGAGTTGGTTGAAAGAGAGAGTGAAGTCATTGTCTATCGCTGCATTATGATTCACAAAGTGCAGTCTTATTTTAACCTCTCTAAGCCCCCGAGCTGCCGGTTCAGATGTGTCCCTGGACTTCCCTGGCACCGTCTGCATCTGTCAGGCAGGAAACCTCAGGCTGTGTCACACGCACTTTTGTAGGAGCCCCCGCTGGGTCACTTCTCTGGATTCACCCCAACAGGGAACCCTCACCCCATGTTGGAAGTGTGTCCTCCATAATTATTGGTGGTCTTGCAGGGAAGGAAAAAAAGAGAGAGAGAGAGAACTCTATCAGAATCGCATTCTCCACTTGCTCAGTCGGTATCACTGGCAGAGGACGGCTTGGGGCTGTAAGGCTGCTCTGAGCTATTATTGTGGCTGGCTCTTTCTCAGCGGGAGTCACCGCAGACAATATAGCGCTCGGAGAGCACGGGGGATGAACGGTAAATAGGAGGCCCTGGATTTTTTTTAATCTTGTCAGTTTTTCCCTGATTTGTGTCCTTTATCCTAGCCCCCTCTGCTATGTAAGCTTCTCAAAGCTAATGCCCATAACGCCACCACCCACTGGTAGCAGCCGGTTGCTGGGCCACTACAGGGTTCTCAGTGCAGAGATGTACAATGCCCACCATTATTCAGCAACTGTACGTGTTAACCCAGTGGCACAAGGTTGCTCCAACACCTTCCCCTCTGGTTTCTCTTTACTCTGGGGGCCAACAGCAACCACAGGCGCGCTGCCCTCCTGACTCTTAACTGCTTGTTGCAGCTGTCACACATCACATCCGCCAAGCTACAGCTCTGGAACGGCCTCTGCTGAAAGTAAAAGGGAGTGCTGGGCAATTACAGAAGCGAGACGACGGCTGCCACCTTTACTGCCGCATTTAGAAAGGTAAAACTGTATCTCGAAGGTATTCCTTCGGCCTCTTGCGATGGATACCAGCCTTGCACCCATCCTTTATTAAGAGCTAGTGTGATTAAATCAATACACATGTTGAGCTCTAAGTCATGGATTGGCCACGGAGGCTGCTGGGCATCACCTCAGCAGTGGGCATAAAGCTGTTTGGAAGTGAAGTAGGGACATCTCACTCCTGTGAAACACCACGCCTCCCTGGTATGAGTTACCCCTTATACGTCTACCGTTTGAGTCGGTTTCCAGGGTAACTTATGGCTCCCGTGTAACTAAAAAGTGTGCATATTATCTTAGTCTCGACTGCTACGAAGCCTCCCTCTATGCCATCCCGTCCTAGAATCCAGTGGCAGCGACTGAAATGCATCTGCCTTCTGCAGTCGCCTCAGCGCTGCAGGGGATACAGGAACAGCCGGTGAGCGATGCACAAGTGGTGGCTCTCACAGGCTGCCGTGGAGCAGAATAGGCCTGGGCTGGAACCCTCACTTAAGTTTGTGGGGATGTGACTTTGTGAAGGGCTTACAATGGGAAATCACAAGTTGGAGAGAGGAGCAAGGGAAGGAGAAGCAGCTGCTCCTGGAGGGGAGGGTTCTGCCCAGGGGAAAGCCAGGGTTGCTGGATCTTCTTAACCTGGAATGTGAGCTTGTAAGCACTTTCCAATCATCAGTAGCCTGCCCACGACTTGATGACTGTTCTTGGTAGGAATCTTATTCACAACCGGTCCAATCATGGGGCTTTGTTTGGGACTATGACAGCTCCCATAAGAAGGTGATGATGGCAAAGGGACCCATCTGCTAAGCTGGCACTGTCCATCAAACGTGGGCTCCCAACATGCCCTGCCCTTCAGGTGGTGGGTGCCCCAGGATGGTGTGTGGGGAAGTAGCCTCAGCTTAGTAAAGAACAGTAAAGCTTCTGCAGAACATTGCACTGAAGCTTTGATCTGTATTCAGAAGAGGGTAAGCTACTCACCTCACCTTAGGATACAATATACATGGAGAGAGGCCAATAAAACATAAATAAGTTGCCACGAAACAAAACCAAATGTACGCCAGATATATCTGAGATGGGTAGAGCATGTGGCGACTATCAGCAAGGAGACAGAACTTCTTTTGCGAGTCCCTACCTACCTAAATTTAGCATATCAAATCGAGGAAAAGGGAGGACTTACAAAACTCCTGTAACTCATTCCTTCCCTCAGACTGTATAGTCTGTTCTTTCATTCTTTAAGAAAGCCTGGGTCAGAATTTTCAGGCCGTTTCTCTGATAGGGTATATGGTCTTATTGGGCATTCATGCAAAAGATGTACCAAGATGAATGAAGATTCTGCTATACTTTATTCCATATCATGTTACAGGAAAACAATAGTGACAGCTGACAGACCATTACATCCTTCATAATACAGACGAATTACAATTGGTAACAAATATGCAACATGTATTATTCCATTCTCCTTACTGGGTGTCATTTTGAAGTACAATAGTTTTTGAATGATGCTAGCACATTTCTTAGGTGCTGTCCCCATTAGGAAGTGCACATTTCAGTGCATCATACAAAGGAGAGAGAGGGGAGAGGGAGGAAGAGAGAGAGAGAGAGAGAGAGAGAGAGAGAGAGAGAGAGAGAGAGAGAGATCCACTGCCAAGCAGAGATGGAGATTTTCTATGTGCCTCTAAAATATGCCCTTGAAGCTGTGGGAAGAGGAATAATAGTAAATTGCTTATTTGAGATTTAAAATTTTTGTTGTTTTGGTGTATAAGAAAACTGCAAGGCAGGGACATACAGTTTTCTCTGCCTATAAGCCAGTAAAGGAGATGGAAGTTCTGCACAATTCTGCAGCACATTCCTGTGAATAGGGGCAGGCGATAACCTACCCCAGTATGTACAGCCTAAACATCCTCTTATATAGCAAAAGCTACCAACCCCGTAATAGTCACAGATGAGTATGTTATATGGACGCATACCTAGGGTACTGATCACCCTGGCTGTCATAAACACACCGAGGAAAGGATACCAAGAGGCCTTGCTTCCTCTGCAAGCCTGAGGGTCCCTTAGAAACTTTTCTACCTGTTTCTGGGAGGCAGAAAGAGCTCCACACCCTTCTGACTTGGAAGGCAGCATCCCCTACGCCTGCCCCTGCCTTACACTCTCTACTTTTTGCTGAGCACCGCAAACACATTGGCCTAATGTCCTGTATATTTACCTACCTTCAAGAAAACAAAAGTCCTAAATCTCCTCTCAGAGTACTACGTGCACAGATATAGTATGAATACAATCACTGTGCTAAAGTATCTGTACTGTTCTTTCTGGCTGCCTGAATTCAAGCTATTCCTTCATATAAAAATAATCTCCCAAAACATTCCAGTGCTTTCTCAAAAGTATAATAAATCTGTTAATGAACACAGTCTGTATTGATTTTCACGACAGCCCTCTGAGAGGGCAGGAGAGGAAAGTAGGGGAGGGAGAATGTGGCTACAAATGGGAGAGGAAAAGAGAGACAAACCAAACTTTGAATTTGCAGCTCGAATGGCAAGGAAAACTGTGTAGCCTTCTGAGAGGCATGTCTCTGGATCAAGGCAGAGTCTCTCCTGCTGAGTGGTAGTAAGCTTTACTTCCTAAGAGAAGTTGTCCATGGCAAGGCATAGATCTCTAATCACCCCACATTCCTAATTGAAGCCTTTCAGCATTAAATATTTTCAAATTTTCAAGTTAGAAATTTATTAAATAGTAAGATTGAATCATCAAGCTCTCAATTTAAACTTAGTGAAATACAAAGATTATGCTTTTCTCCCAAATGAATAATTCCAAACCAATCACAGGGAAGGCTGCTTTTGATTATGTGTAAAGTTTTTTTCCCCATGTTTACTTTAAGAAATCCTAATGTAAGACACTTTAAATCAAAATAACTCTGAAGAGTTCTAATGGGTTGGAATGTATGAAAGAGGAATGAAAAGTATTTCTAGGTAGCAAATAGTAAGCATTCTTAGCTGTGTGTCTTTTGCTATCTTTAAAATCGATCAGGAAGTAATGCCTTGCTTGGTATTTAGCATGAGTGCTGAATATGGATAGGACGGTTATGATCTTGCCATGATTCACTAACCCTGCTCCAGGGACAGTACCAGCAGAAATTGAGGAATTCAGGGTTTACTTCATAGGTATATTGGGTTTGACTATAGAAAAACTTTTCCCTCACCCCACTCTCAGAAAGCCCTTGTCAAAATGGGTCATACTTCCTAGCCTTGAGCCTAAAACAGTGTGATACATTTCAAACTTGCAATCTCTTCTAATAGGAAAAAGTAAAACAATGTGTACAAAGATATAACCACGAGAATTTCTGTCCTGGGGAGCTAAGTTCATGCTGTAAATGAAGATTCCTAACTGCTCCTTGACCTCAGTATTTCTGGGACTCAGCAGCGAGGGTACCCTACAGGAGCCAGCACCAGGCAGCTCCTCTCTACGCTGAAGCACTAGGCATCTCCGATCAGCTTCATGCTCCAAGGTGCCTCAACTTCTTAAATGGGAAGCTGGGCTTTTCTCTTTTCCCCGTTTGCATCTTTACAGCAAGATTCCTCCACTGTTTGTAAAACCTGCATGTGAACAGTTATTCCAGGGGACTGTTGAAGTCAAGTACCGAACTGTGCCTTCCAGTCAGTCTGGAATGTTGTTTAAAGATGTAATTCCAGAATGCTTTGCTGTCACCAAGCAAACTTCTAAGTCTGGGTGACTCTGTAATTTGCTTTTTTGAGCACTAATCAGCCAAGACTGCTTTCAGGGCTCATACAGAAATACAGTCTCTTTCATCCACATTTTAAACATTCTATTCTTCACTCTTCTCCATTTAGAACATACAAAATGTAACAGAGTAGATAGAAAAAAAAAAAGATGATGACAAGATCCAGATCACACATAAAAAAGTTATCTCAGTTTCCAGAGGTTGGAAAAACAAGCAAGTAGTACCTGTCCACATACTTTCGGCTGGGTACTTGTTTCTTTACTTCCAACCTGCTCAAAAAACAGTTGTGCTATGTGGCTTGAAAATGCTAAGCAGATCCTGGTATCTTCTATAAATATGTGTTGATTTCCAAGAAAAAAAAAACACTTTTGCAAATGTCCTTAAAGATGAGTGACAGGTAGGACCCATACTTTGGGACCAGGCTGTGGTCAGAGAACAGCGATTTACTTTAGTGAAAAACATCCTTCCTAGTGGTTGGAAAATGTGTGCTGCTCTCAAAGAAAACACACATTGTTTTATGCCACTGTGTGGCTTTCAAGTAAAGACATTACTGAAGAAGTGTGAACACCAAATGTGTTGTCTTAATGTATTTAAGACATGGCTGGTGAAAGCATTAAAACCTTACAGAGACGCTGTGCTGCAGAGGGAAATCAAACAAAATCAAACACAAAAGACTGAAAAGAATACATGCCATGTATCAGTAAGCAAAGCTTAATCTTCACGTAGTTCTTGGAAATCACAAGGTATCCAAATGCGTGCAAGGTTTTAAATAAATTGCAGAGAAAACGGTCTTGCCAGCCTCAATTTTCTTGTAAGTGAAATCCACCACAGGGAGCAAAAAGAAACTGATCCATGATTCCCTTTGCATTGTTGGCCACTTCATTAATTTTTTTTCTTCCCAGAATGATGACAATTTAATCCTGGAAGGAGGAAAAGAGAAAATTGTTATATATGAAAAACTTACATCAACTTCCCTGAATTACATTAGACATCGAAATTGGTCAGGCCGAAGTGAGCTCACTGGTGTTCTCCACACCACTCCAAGCATGTCTCTTTGAGGTAGAGGAGTTACCTTAATCAAAAACAACTCTTCTAATATGATAAACAAATTTTCCAACGGCATTTTCTTTCTTTCAGATAATTTAAGTCCATGAATTCAAATAATCTCATGTCCTCTTATATTATTTAGAGAAAAAGAAACAGCACATTTTCTTCCTCAAATCATTAGTAGTAATATTCATCTTATTTAAATGCCTGTAGCCTCCTATTACAGACCATTAAAAAGATGCCTCAGAGGGCTGGGGATTTAGCTCAGTGGTGCCACTGGCAACCTCACAAGCACAAGGTTCTGATTTTGATCTCTGGTACCAAAAAAAAAAAGAAGATGTATTAGTGCATTCACTTTTTATGAGCACGGAATAGAAAAATGGATCACAACCATACTTTAAAAAACAGCTGCCTGTAACACCTTGGTTTCTTATTATCAGTTACTTTAGTCTCCTCAGAATAAAAATCGGCCAGTATAACTGGAATTGGCAGGCCCTTTCCAACATCCTGCACAGCACTGTACACTTCCAGTGATGTCTCTTTAAAATGTGGTAACTACTTAACAGGTGGATGATTCAAGAAGAAAGAAGGAATGTTCCTTCTGCATGTCTCTGCCTTTCTTCTTAGCCCTTAAGTCTCTTCACTTAACCTCTAGGACGGGAAGAGGACGTCTGGCCAGGCAACATATGGGACTTCCGGGTTAAAGTCCTGAGGCTGAAGGAGTTGATCCACACATCCTCGAACCCATTCATCAACTAAGTTTAGAAGCTTGTTCTTACTCGTTACAGCAAGGCCAGGCCTGCTTGTCTACATTCACAGGGCCATATTGTTATCCTCCCGACACAGAGGAAACCTTGGAGAGAATCTGTTAGCCCAGGTTCTGGCCTTTTTTCTTTGGAGACTTCACAGTGAAGCTGTCCTGCGGTCACCTCCCACAGGCTGTAGAACCAAGCATATCACCCCACGTGGCAGTGACCTAGCAAAATCTTGACCAAAAATTTCTACTCTGATAAACAAGAGTAATCAAAATACATGGTGAATGTTTAAATACAAAAATTTATTACAGTAAAACATACGGTGCGATGAGTTCCCCTCAGAATGCTCCCCCTTGTATGGAACACACTGATGCCATCATTCTGGCCATTTTCTGAAGTAGTGCTGAAGTCTTCTTTCATGAAGGTCCTTACGAGGTGTGATAAAAACACAGTGAGTGCTGCTGCCAAGGGCCATCCCACGGGAAGGCAGCCTTGTTGGAATATTAGACATGTCCTCATCCACTTTATTCAGCACACCTGTCACCAGGCAACTTCTGCCTCTCCTCCAAAAACCGAAATGACCATAAAGCGCAGATGCTTTGAATCAGGGAGCCATGCAGCTAAAAATACAGCAGTAGGATTCCAGCACTGTTTCAGAAAGTGGTAAGAACCATTGGACAAGGGTGTTTGATATGAGGAGAGTATTCTGAGGGGCATTAACAACAATGTGTCTTTTACTGCGATACATTTTTAAAAACTGTTTAACATTCACTGTATTTTTTGTTTACATCAGGCAGATTTGTAAACCATTAAAAAAATTGCATCTTCCCTACACTTTATTCCTCTCTTCCACTTACTAGGATGCTTTCTTCAGAATGTTTACCTTCTATTTGCTTTTTAAAATTGAGATTAAATCCATATAACATGAAATTAACAATTTTCAAAGTGTTTAATTTAGGGGCATTTAGTGCATTCCATACTGTTGCAGAGCCACCATCTTCAGTTCCAAAGCATTTTCATCATCCTCCGAGGAGATCTGTGCTCCTTAGGTTGTCATTCTTCATACTTCCTTTGCCCCAACTCCAGGCAACTACTCATCATCTTTCTGGTTTCTTTTTTTGGTGCCAGGGATCGAACTCGGGGCCTTGAGCTTGCCAGGCAGGCGGTGGCACCATTGAGCTAAATCCCAGCCCATCATTCTTTTTCTATGGACTCACCTACTGTGGTTTTTCCATATAAATGGAGTCATACAATATATGACCTGTTGCATCTGGTTGCTTTCATTTAGCATGATGCTTTTGAAGTTCATGCATGTTGTAGTATGTAACATTATTGTATATGGCAGGATATTGTATTTTATCCATTCATTAATGTGTGCTTGGGCTCTGTCACCTTTGGGATTGTGAATGTGCTGTAGTGAACATTCATGTACAAGTATTTTTCCAATATGTGTTTCCAATTCTTTTGGATATATAGGAGTGGAATTTCTGGCTCTTAGGACAATTCTCCATTTAATTTTTGAATAACTGTTCTACAGTGGCTGCACCATTTGATATTTCTGCCAGCAGTGTAGAAGTGTTCCTGTTTCTCCACATCCTTGTCAGCACTTGCTGTTTTGTTATTTTTCCTGTTGCCTTTTTTTTTTTTTTTTTTTTTTTTTTTTTTTTTTTTGGTGCTGAGGATTGAACTCAGGACCTTGCGCTTACAAGGTGAGTGGCAGCACCACTGAGCTAAATCCTCAGCATCCCCCTGCTTGCTTTTAAATTATAGACATGGTAGTGTGGTGATTTGATTTCATTTCCCAATGGTTAGTGATAGTGGACATCTTTTCCTAGGTTTAGTTGCCATATGAATATCTTTTGTAGAGAAATATTTCAAAAGTGGGTTGTCTTTTTATTGTTCAGTTGTAGTTCTTTATGCATTCTGGAGATTAATCCCTTATCTCAGATATATGATCCACAAATATTTTTTCTTATTCCACGGATAGACTTTTCATTCTGTTTAGCGCGTCCTTTGATGCACAGAAATTGAATGAAGTATAATTTAAACATTTTTTTCTTTCGTTGCTTATACTTTTGGTACAAATCTATTGTGAAATCCAAGGTTATAAAGATCATAAGTCTTAAAATTTTAGCCATTACATTTAGATCTTTGGTCCATTTTGAGTTAATTTTTGTACATGGTAAGAGGTAGTGATAACCTGCTGTTTTTGACAGCTGTCTGTCCTCAGTAACTAGGCCAAGGGTAAGTAAAGTACTTATAGGTTTCCGGGAGAGGCCTGGGGAGGGGTGGATGCCACACATCAGCGCTTGCATAGCATCTCAATCACATTTGTCCACAGTCATCAGCCAATCTCCAAACCAACTACCGACCTTGGGATTTTTATTAACTAGATGATAAAAATGTCCTTTTTACCCATGTAAGATCCCAGGCATGGCTATCCCAGTCAAGGATGCTATGGGGTTTTCTTGGCATCTTCTTGCCTAGGCATGGAGTTCCTATGACTACATGCAAATGATAGTCCTTGGTTGGCTTTCCTCCCCTCTATCTCTTTAATCAACAGAATGGAGACCTAGCACCCAAGCTGAGTTCCTGAACTAGGGACTTTATTTAGTTCTCCTACGCCACTTTGTCTCAGGAAGCAAGTCAGGGTGCAGGTAGTATTATTATGTTCTATACTAAGCTTGCTTTGGTTGACCAATGTGTCCCCTTGAGGAGAACTTAGGTTGGCTTCAAGTAATAAGTAATTCTTGAATGAACAGGAAGAGGAAAAGGTAGGCCCTGAGAACTTGAGAGTGGAAACAGCCTCAGATTATGGCACAGTGAATGAGGGCAAACCATGTGCCTGTTCTCTCACTTGTTGCTGGAATGGCTGATACAAAGCTGTTATCTCAGCAACAACACTGTGCTGGGGACGGAGCAGGTCACCCACAGATATACCACTAGCCATGAATGATGGGTAGGGTTAACTCCTTTCTGCAGGCAAAACATTTAAAAAAATATTTCGTGATATTCTAATTGAAAGGAAAGATTTAATTTCTAGTATATTTGATTTCATATAACAATAGGCTATGTTGTCACCATAGTCAACAGCATGTTATTACCCTGGTGGGTTCATCTAAGACTCTTTTAGTCATGGATGGGTGTTTACCCTTCCCTTTGCACTGATTCTCTGAGTTTACTCTAGGAGAATCATATGCACCTAACTTAAGGTGTAAGAATAACTGGATAATAAGGGATGATACCCAACAAGAGTAATTGGACAATAAATAGTGAAGGCAGCCATTATGATAAATCCATTACTTAGGTTTAGATTTTGAAGTTCAGTGGTAGAAGCCAACAGAAAGCAAACATGGGCGATGCCAATGACAGGAAGAGCTCCACCTCTGGGAGGTAACTCTGACCAGCCCATGTGGTGTCCCCACCCTGCCTCCTGCTCTTCACCAGAGCAAAGGACATCCCTTCCCCTGCCTTGAGCAGCATCAGTTTCGATTTTTTTTTTTAAAAGGGCATATAAAGATGGTCAGTTTATTGGTAGAAAAAATTAAACTCTAAATATACTCATGCATTTGAAGGGTGGGGTTTAGACAGAAGTTAAGAAGGTATACTTCTATCATAGGGAAGTAAGCTACAGTAAATCTTTCCCTTACATTTGATTGATAAAATGTATTGCATGTATATTACAAATGAACAGTGAATGTGGATTACAAGCTCAAAATGTGCACATCTGCTCATAGGTATATAAATCGTTAAGATTAATGGGTGTTTTCAGCTTTTACAATACTCTTTCTCGAGAAATGAACTGTTTTAAACAAGAAATTGGTTTCAATTGATAAAATCCTTATTCAGAAATATCTACATAGAGCTTCTCGGCTATAAATATTAATTAATCGGATCACTGATACCCATAATGCAACTTTGTTCTGACCCACGTGCCCTATGAACTAGATATTTTTTGGATCCAATTTTCTTAAAACCAACTGTCAGCATCATGTGACGGGGGAGATGAAAAATGAAAATGAGCAGTCCCGCTGTGCAGGTGGGTGACCTGTGGGAGACAGTCTGCCTGGTAGGATTTTTACGCGAACCACCAGACGGAGACCGATTGATTAGATCAT